TTGATTTAAGGTTATATTTTGATGTAGGTAATACTTATAGGCAGAGTGTTATTATTTTAAAAGACTAAAGTTACAGATAATAATAATAATAATAATAATAACGATTTTATTGATACAGGCTTTAACAAACAATTAAAATGGATCACTTAAAAGATAAAGAAATAGAAGGTATCCTGTAGAGCAACAAGCTTTCTTCATTCTGAAAAAAATTAGATAGAAGAAGAGCGTTCTTCCACTTAACCTACAAAAAAGAATACATTATATTATACATTAACTAGGTGCAATAAACTAAGTACATGAATTTTTTTACCGATAAACTAATTTAGCATTAAAAAATAATATATAATAATATATAAAACTGAGCAATAATTAGATAATAGTCATAAAAAAAAGCTGAAATAAATACCTAGTCAAATAAATTCAAATAAATTTCCAAGTGTAGGTTCAGGGGCTGCTGGAAGGTTCAACCGCTACCGTTCCATTCTGGGTTCGACGGATGGCAGACCAGGAAGAACCAGCATAGTAAGACACAAAATTGACACTGGTGAGGCGCGCCCTATCCGCCAAGCTGCTCGACGACTGCCCCAAGTCAAGAAGGAAGAGGCGGAGAGAACGCTCCAGGAGATGGTGAAAGACGGAGTGGTTGAACCTTCCAGCAGCCCCTGGGCCTCTCCCGTAGTACTGGTGAAGAAGAAGGATGGATCAACACGGTTCTGCGTCGACTACCGCAGGCTCAACGATGTCACTAAGAAGGACAGCTACCCTCTGCCAAGAATCGACGACGCCCTAGATGCACTAGCGGGTTCCAAGCTGTTCTCTACCCTGGATCTGAAGAGCGGTTATTGGCAGGTAGAAATGGACCCCGCCGACAAAGAGAAGACGGCGTTCACCAGCGGAACTGGTCTGTGGCAGTTTACAGTCCTTCCATTTGGTCTTTGCAACGCTCCAGCCACTTTTGAACGACTGATGGAAAACATCCTCAGGGGTTTATCCTGGAAAACCTGTCTCGTTTATTTAGATGATGTCATCATACTGGGGCGGACGTTTGACGAACACCTGCTAAACCTCGAAGAGGTTTTCAAGAGACTTCAAGCTGCAAACCTGACGTTAAACGTAAAAAAATGCCACCTGTTCCAAACCGAGGTCAGCTACCTAGGACATATAGTTAGCAGAGAAGGTGTCGCCGTAGATCCAGACAAGATTCACGTAGTCGAGCAATGGCCAGTCCCCTCCGATAAGCACCAACTGAGCAGCTTCCTTGGACTTTGCTCTTACTACCGCCGCTACGTTAAGATGTTCGGAGTCATCGCCAAGCCGTTGACCCGATTGACTGAGGAAGGTAGAAGCTTCAGCTGGGATGAAGAATGCCAAGAAGCCTTCGACGCTCTGAAGAAACAGCTGACGTCGACTCCGATCCTAGGCTATCCACTTCCCGAAGGAAAGTTCATCCTCGATACTGATGCCAGCAACGTAGGAATCGGTGCCGTTTTATCACAGCTCCAGGATGGTCGGGAAAGAGTCCTTGGTTACTTCAGCAAGACGTTGTCCAAACCTGAACGTAACTACTGTGTCACCAGGCGAGAACTTCTAGCAGTGGTGAAGTCCGTTGAGCATTTCTACAAGTACCTGTATGGGCGAAGGTTCCTGATCAGAACTGACCACGCCAGCTTGAAGTGGTTACTTAATTTCAAGAATCCTGAAGGACAAGTAGCGAGATGGATGGAAAAACTGCAGGAATACGACTTCCACATCGAACACCGACCTGGGGTGAGCCACCGCAACGCCGACGCCCTTTCCAGAAGACCTTGCCAACAGAATTGCTCCCATTGCAGTCGCCTTGAGGAGAAGGAAGCCAGCCTGCGCCAGACTAAAGTCGTCAGCGAGGAATGGTCCAAAGGGAGGATTCAAGAGCAGCAAGAGAGCGACCCTGACCTGAAAAGAATTAGAGAATGGGTGTCAGCAAATCGTCGTCCAACCTGGCAAGAGGTATCATCATCTTCACCAGGACTGAAATCCTACTGGGCTCAGTGGAACTTCTTGGTGATTGAAGAAGGGTTGCTAAAAAGAATCGTTGAAAATGCCGATGGCACTGAATCAAAGAGGCAGCTGCTAGTCCCGAAGACCTGCATACCAGAGATACTACGACAGCTTCACGATGGAACGTCAGGAGGACACCTGGGTGTGAAGAAGACGTTACGGAAGGTTCGAGAAAGGTTCTACTGGGTGAGCTGCTCTGACGACGTAAGAGACTGGTGCCGAAGATGTGCCACCTGTGCGGCGAGCAACGGACCACAACGCAAGCGTAGGGCTGGAATGCAGCAGTACATCGTAGGAAGCCCATTCGAGAGGATCGCTGTAGATGTACTGGGTCCTCTGCCAGAAACCGATGCAGGGAAGAAGTACATTTTCGTCGTAATGGACTACTTCACCAAGTGGGTAGAAGCGTATGCTGTTGCCAACCAAGAAGCTACCACCCTCGCTGACATCCTGGTGAAAGAATTCATCAGCCGATTTGGGGTGCCCTTGGAACTACATTCCGATCAAGGAAGGAACTTCGAAAGCAAGCTATTCCAAGACGTCTGCCAGAAGTTGGGAATCCGGAAGACCAGAACAACGGCCCTACACCCGCAGTCCGATGGAATGGTGGAACGCATGAACAGAACATTGATCAGGCACTTATCGAAGGTTGTCTCCGATCATCAGCGGGACTGGGACGAGCACATTCCACTGTTCTTGATGGCCTACAGATCAGCTGTTAATGAATCCTCAGGACAGACACCGTCAAAAGTACTCTTTGGTCGAGAGATGAGGCTGCCATGTGATCTAATGTTTGGTTCCAAACCTGGTGAAGACATGGCCGGAGAAGATTATGTGTCAGACCTCCGCAGGAAGATGGGAGATACCCATGAGCTAGTACGGACCAACCTGCAGTTAGCTAGCGACCGAATGAAGAAATATTACGACAGCCGAGCAGCAGAGTCCTGCTATAAGGAAGGTGACCTGGTATGGCTCTACAACCCACGAAGAAGGCGGGGCTTCTGTCCAAAGCTGCAGAAGAGCTGGGAGGGCCCATATGTCATCAGGAAGAGGATCAATGACGTAGTCTATCGAATCTACAAGGCTCCCAGAGGAAAACCGATAGTAGTTCATTCTGATCGACTAGCACCATTCGCCGGAGACCACGATGAAGATGTACGAATACAGCGGCTCCAGGACGGAGAGAACCTTGAAGACATCAACAGCATTCCAGGAGGAATGCATCTGAGGAGGGGGCAGTGTAACGGTTTGGCTCTACGTACGAGACAGTGCGAGGGTTTGCCACAACAGTACGAGACAACGAACCGTCAAGGTGACAGGAAACCCAACCTACAATCGGGCAGGCTGACAGAAACTTGGAGAAAGTGTAAGGAATGATCGAGAACGGTCATGGAAGCCGTTACGATGGATTATTGATGATATGACACGGTCAATTTGGAGTGGAAGATAGAAAGCCGGTCAGCGCGTGGCGGATCAACATTTGAATTGTAAATAGTAATAATTGTAAATAGTTTACGCGTTGGGAGTTATTTTGTATTTTAATTAAATAAATAGTTTCAACCCACACTCGTGTTACAATATCAAAAGCTAGCGCACTGAACCTTATCGTTGCTTCATGAGACTTTCTCATCACCATTGCGATATCTTCTTCGCATTTTCCATCATTTATCATCTTATATATCATTTTATTAGATTCTTCCTCGAATTCATCATTTAATTTTTCCAACAGCTTAAATGTACTTTGCAGCTTTGCTATATGTGGGTTCGTGTGCTTTAGAGAAGCCTCCAAATCACCACAGTACGTATCGAAAGAGCTTTTAAGGAGTTTTAGAACCAAGCCCTCATGTCACGTCATCTTTTTGTAAATTCTTCAGCACTATCTCGTCGGGCCTTCCAAATGTTGCTTTCTTTAGTATAACCTACTAAAGTAAAGATCTAATGGTCGAGAAACTGTCTCAAAAAATATATTTAAATTTGACAAAGTTATCATAAAAATTAATCTTGACGTTTTTTCAAAAATTACGGTAACTATTCCAAAATAATTCAATTAAAAATATCAAGGAATACTGCTTCATAGGCGTATCAATTAAAAATGTGCAGGAAACCTCTTCAGGATGTATTACAATTTTAATTTTAATTACAAATAAGCATTGCAGAATGACGTGTTAATAAAATGTCTACCTCTTGAACCTGTACTACGTTCTGATGCAAATTATATTACTGCACTCCTTTCTTCTATAGACTATAATAATTAAGAAATAATACTTTTTATATAAATTATAATAATCTTCAACAACAGTAAATGTTCGTGGTCTTTTGGTATGTGTTGTTGGATTGTGAACCAATAAAGCCGATTGTTAATCTTCCAAATAATCAACTCTTAATTTCCAGAGTCTATCTCTGCGACATGCCCTCGTCAAACTAAAGGCAAAAACAACCTATAACAAACACCTTTCGAGGTTAGTGATATATTTTTAACATACGTATAAAAAAATAAAAAATATTTTTTAACTGGAGTTGAACCCAGTTCCTACCGCATATTGGACAAATACTCTACCCTTTGTACCCTTAATTAGTGCAGAAAAGCGCGTCTTTAATAATGGTTGTAGAAAAAATAAATATCTTTCCTTCTTAATTTAAAAAATATTTATATAAAAATAAAATGGATATTTATAGTAGATCTACATTACTTACAATTTATCAGAAACACTTTGGTAGATATATTTCAAAAAAATGATTCAAATTTATAGACCAAAGTACCTACAAAATAATAAAAGAACCATACTTTAACTATTCAAATTAATCTGAAAAATTAAAATTTCAAAGCTTGGTAAATGGTAAGTGCTGTACATGTTTGTTTAATTTACCAATACAAGCAATAAAAAATACCCACATAATGCGGTTTATATTTCGTTTTTATATATATTTTTTTATCAATTGTATCTCAATTGTTGTATTTTCAGCTAGACCTGCAGACAGCCCTCTTTTACCATCGACTGAAGAGTGTGGCATTGGTAGTATTCCGGATAAGATATATGGTGGAAAGATGGCTGAATTAGATGAATTCCCTTGGATGGCTCTAATCGAATACGAAAGAGGTACACACTATTACACAACCCCTGTTATATAAAAGTACTGTATAGTTTTGTTCAGTGGCGGCTTGTCCTAAGAGGCGCAATGGCGCAAAATTTGTAAATATTTTGTTCTCTAAAAATATTTCTTTTTATATTAATTACAATAATTATTACAATTGTCGGATCAAATTATGACTAAACGATACATTATATAAATTATGTATCATGATTTAATTTGATCCCGTTGAAAAAACTTGCGTCGTATTATTCCTAGACACAACAAATTTAATAATTCAAGCAATTGACTGTCCACCGTCTATCCGAGCACATCGACCAGTGGCCCGGCTGCTTACATATTAATCTATTGTAAAAGTTTAATAAAGGTCACGCCATTCGCCTGTAGAAAGGGCTTCTTATACATTCAAACGGGGCCACGTTTGAAGCGGCTCGGAATGAATAGTTAGAACAGTATTGTTTCAATCGCGTGTTTGGCGAGTTCGGCGTATTGCTTTTAACATTTTATGTGTGCTGAATTTTTTTTGTTAGGTAGTTAGAATAGTTGAGTTTTTAAAGTAGAGTAAAACGGGGGAATATGGCAACATAAACTTCAAACGCTCACATTCTAACGAACAACCAACTTTGCCGTAAGGAAAAGGTGGCATCTTAGAGCGTATTTATCTATATGTGTGTCTGACGAGAAAGGCTCGTTGCCATATTATCACTACGAAGATAGTTAGAAGCAGAAATTTCAAATGATACGCTATTGCCATATTACTTGTACCCTTCTCGTAAGAAATTAACAATTTTTTGAGATTAGAAAAAATATGTATTATTTACAACATAGCAAATATATTGAGTAGTATAACTATACATAGGCTAATACAACTTATATCTTCAGAGTTCTAGACCTACTCGCTAGTTGCTTTAGTGGGATACAGTCTGCACAATATGCGTCGGGAAGAAGTGCATATCTCGTGAACCCAATCATGACATTTTAGACATTGTAACCAATCACATTTCGGACCTTTTTTGTCAAAATAGTATCCACCACATTGGACACAAAATTCTGAATCATGTTTTAGTTCTGAACCCTCGCTCTCTACTGTCTCTACAATTCGCTATCTGACGAACTGGTATCGTCAGTAGCCCTTGCAATACGTTTTTTCTCCTGAACAGTAAATGTGTTCTTTTGTCTTTCTTGTCTTCATTACCTTCTTTTCTTTCCTTTTCTTGCTTGCGTTTTATCTTTGCAATTTCCTTTTTTTCTTTTATTTCTTTTTGCGTCGTTTTTGTGCAATAATTTCTGGAGATGTAAGTAGCTCAGCATGCTGTTTCCTTTTTTGACAACCACTTGACCCAGGCATAACTGGAATAGGCGCAATTTCCTCAAATGTTGTGTTGTTGGTCTTGGAGATTACTGCAACGTCATTAATAATATTGACCTCGTCATTAGGAGTATCGGCAGGAGTATTGTTAATAATGGGGACATCATTAGAAATGACATCATTAACGTTTTCTTCTAAAATATCGTTAATGGGAATTGTCTCAGGATTTTGCTGAATAAAAGCATGATCTGGAATTATGGTGGCATTAAACGGACATATACCACAGGTTCTAAAACCCGAAATTCCATTTTGTACTGTCGCTGCTTTTCCCCATGCGATGTTCAAGAGTGCCGGAAATTGCAGCCTACTTAATTTGCGACCTGGATGATTATGTATTCAGGTGTTACATGCCTGTGGCCAGTAGTTCTTTAGAGGCTTAAAAAATTATCTGTCCAGTGGCTGCAACCAGTGGGTCGTATATCTTGGCAAACACAAAATTATAACATCGCTTGCACCTAAATCCAACAACTTTACATCCGAACAGCGCGAGGAGTGTCCATCTAGAATGAGAAGTACTTTACCGGACTCCTTTCTTGCAATAAAGTGCTCTCGGAGCCATTTTTTAAAAATGTCTGTTGTTACATAGGCCGACTTTTTATTTATCATGACTTTACCACCAGAAGGCAAGCCATCTTCAAATTGTTTTTTCTTCTTGTCTTTAAAAATACAAACGGGAGGAAGGAAATTACCTTCTGCATTTACGCAGGCTATTACTGATATCGTCTCCCCTTTCTCAGCACTTGTGACGCAGTTTACAGTTTTGATGCCTTTAGTGGCAACAACTTTCCCTGTGTTATGTTGAGTTGCAGCCCGGACTCATCAATATTAAATATTTTTCTCGGAGTGTTTAATAAATCATTGTTAATATTTTTTTCAAAAGATCGAAATATCGTCCGCATTCTTCTTTATTCATACCTTGGGCTCGGGCTACAGACATTTCTTGAGCTTTTCGAATTGACAATTCTGGATGTCTCTGCATAAATGAGACAAACCAGTCATGGCCAGCTTGCTTTGTATCAATATTGAATCTGTTCGGAATATTATTTTGAATCACAAAAGAAAACGCAAGCTTCTTCACATCAACCGATGTTAGCGCAAACCCATGTTTTGAATATATTTTGCCAAAAAAGTTTCATGAACTAAAGTCAGACATCTTTTTCGACCTAATTTTTCTTTACGGAGGTTCCCAGATCTCATTTTTCTCATCAAAGTACGGATAGGAACCTTGTACGTACGACTAATTTGGCGAACTAAACCTCTACCGTTTCTAAGATCATTAATAGCATTGCGAAGATCTTCTTCGGACCATAAAGACCTCACGTTCTTTCAAACATACGTTCGAGGCATCTAGACAATTACTGAAATAAACCAAAAAATGTGTCAGGGGTAATATGCCGCCTCTCGGGGTAATATGCCGCAGTTAAAAATTATGAGGCATTTTACCCTACATTGTACATATTAATTTAAAAAGTGGCAACACCTATTTCAGAACAAAAGTATTGAATGATATAGTTCATAGACGATTACCACGCTTATCATAAACGAGATGGAATTTCCAATCACGGGGAGTTAATACAGTTTATGAATACAGAAATGAACTGATACACGTTATGGATATTTCATAGAACGACAAAGATATTAAATTAAATTCTACGATTGAGCAAGCCGGTGCTTATAAACTCAGATTACAGGCCAGACATTTCTTATTTTGGTTAACAGTTTTTCATAAAGTCATGCCACATGTCGAAATAATTTTTAAGCAACTGCAGACGATTAATACAGGCCCTATCAAGGCTAAACAAGATCTAAAAAACTTTGAAAATGCAATGCAAAAAATTCGTAATGAAATGGATAAAATTATTGACAAAATAGACTCGCTTTTAGAAACCGAAGATGAACTTGTTCCTCAGAAAAGGCGACGTTACCCTCGTTCCGATCTATCTGTTTTAACAAATAGAAGGGATCCTTCCTTAACACTAATAATAATAGATTGGAAAGTATAAACTCAAAGTTAAAGCAGGTTATTAAAAAAAATAGTAGTTTGGAGAATTTCATTGAGTCGTTATTTGTAATTATCCATTCACTGGAGATTGAAAGAGATTAAGCAGTTTATCAGTTTTAAAAAAAGAAGTGTAACTGCATCCGACCCTACAAGTGATGAACGAAAATTTATAGACCTTTTAACACATGAACTAGCAAATATGGTAATAAGACAAATAGAGTACAGCAAAAAAGTTGAAAATCTTGAGGTGATAATTGATTCTGGACAAATAAGATTAAATGAGGGAATACTTAAGATAACAACGGAATCTTGCACTTGTAATTTTTAACAAGGTATGTTACTCCCATGTAGGAACATGTTTGCTCTTCGTAAAGAGCTAATGTTGCCTATGTTTGACATCAATATTGTACATCCTCGTTAGACAAAAGCTTATTACAAAAATAAACAAAGATGCCTCAAAAACAATCAAAATCAAGACGGCAATTTAATAACGACGGAAAACAATGACAATATTATCGTAGATATTTCAAAAAAACTTACAGTGCTGTCCTATGCTGAAAAAAAAAGTCCTAAAAGAAACCAATGTTTTAGCCGATTTGGTGGCTTTAGGTTGTAACACTACTTATTTTCAACGTTCTTCTGTAATTACATAGTTACAATCGTACTGGAAAAATAACATTCCAGTTCGGATTATCCCTATAGATGAACAAGATTGTGAACAACCTGATGTAGAGAAACATCAACATAATTTTAATAATGATTTTGATATTGAACAAACCACCGACATTGATGAACATGTCAATTGTGATATACTAATGATTTTCCTGAACCACCAAACCGAAGGGATTGTTGAATTGTCTCAAGTATTTAACGTGGAAATTTCAACTATAAACCAAGACGAAGATGTAATTGAGCTTGGAGGTGACTATTTTACTATGAAGAAGACCGAAAAATCTTAAAATTTTGCTAACACGGATATTATCATTGTTTGTAACGAAATTTTACAAGAAGGAAGTAATAATGTAAATATGTCTAATTCAAATATCGATCAAATCCAAAACTCTAAAAATGAATGCCAAACTGAGCCAAATTAAATTTTGCAAGATGGAAATAATGAAAATATGTGTAATTCAAATATTGACCAAATCAAAAATACTAACAATGAAAGCCAAACTGAACCGAATGACATTTTGCAAGATCGGAACAAAAATAAAAAGATGTATAATGATGTGGATATAGAGTTGATTAAAATGCCTAAGATTTATAAAAAAAAAGGTAGACCAAAGGAATCTGATCTTACCTCAATTGGTATAAAGAAAAGAAGAAAAATTAAAGTTGTAGCTTTTTCTAACTTGAGTATAAAGAAAAAACAAGAAAAAATATTGTCTTGGATTTTAAGAGAAGAAGAAGCAGCTTATTATGTTATTCAAAATGGTGATAAGGTTGAGGATTGTCATATAGAAAATAATCCAGAGAAAGTGTCGAACGTCGTTTTGGATCCCAACGTTGACCTATCCTTTCTTGACTGAAAACGGCTGGAAAATTTTACAAGAAACTGTCCAAAAAGAAAGCTAATAAATATATGTGCGAAATGTGTGGTATGTTGTGCGAAACAATGTCAGATTCTTGCATCACTTCAATAAAATGTACCTCCTGCCTACTGTATTTCCATTTGAAGTGTATAAGTATTAAGAAAATTCCAAAGAGGCAGTGGTACTGTTTAAAATGTTTACGCTAAAATGTTTGAATTTTAAAATATTTTCTGTAAACAATTTTTGATGTTTTTTGTTTTAATGTTCCTATGTTTGTTTTAATGTTTTCATGTTTTTTTTAATTTTCTTATGTTTATGTTTGATTGTATCATATTTGTACCTACATAATGGAGGTATGATTCTTCTTATAATTTCATTTAATGAAGTTATTCAGGACTGGAGGTGGGTCATGAGTCGAACGCATTCGCATATGACTACTGATGACTTCTGGACATCTAATAGCTACCGAATTATTCATGAAAGAACATTTTATCGAATACCAAAAAAAACTTTTCTGATCAATTGCTCCCTGATACAGTTAACGCATATCAATTTCTAGAAAAAAATCGTCTATAAACAGAACTGCAAGTACTTTACGAAAGAGAAGAGTTGCAAACCATTTCTGGAGCCATTCCTCTGTTATCATTAGTTTCGAAGGAAGATATGAAGTAAACTTTTCAAGAAACTATTAAAATACTGGAAGTTTTAGTAACAACACCTATGTCAACATCCGAAGCTGAAAGATGTTTCTCTATGTTAAAGAGGATAAATTTTTTTACGCAACTCAATGAAAGAAGAAAGACTAAGTGCGTTAGGAATGTTATCAGCTGAAAAAGTGTTTCTAAATAACATTGACGACTTTAATAGACGAGTGATTGACCTTTTCGCTAATAAAACAAAATGAAGACTACACTTCAAATATCGCTCAATGTAAAATATTCTTTATTTTACTGAATAGGTTTGAAGTACAATAAATTACTATTCAAAGCTAAATTCTGGTAAGTTTTTTATGTTATTTATTATTTTGTAAAAATGATAAATGCGCACGTTAAAATAATTTAAAATATTACCCAAGATATGCTTTTTAACGACTTCGAAATCTGGGCTAGGCACCCGAAAATGTTAATCCGTGGCTCCACCTATCTGCTAAGGCACGAGCCGCCACTGGTTTTGTTTATTACATTTTTAATTATATTCAAATATCTTCATATTTTAATGTGTTAAACATTTAGTTAATTTTATTTTAAATAAGTTGTTAATTTTTTTAGACAATGGTAGACATGGATTCTATTGTGGAGGAGTACTAATAAGCAAACGATATATTTTGACTGCCGCTCATTGTGTGAAAGGGAAGGACTTGCCCAAAAATTGGAAACTGTAAGTATTAATATCAGCAGCACATTTTATAAATAGCTCCTAACTCGTGGACTAAATAAAAGATTCAGACATTTTGAGTTGTAAATAAATTATTCGATATTTTATTTTATCTTATATTTACTACACTTATTTATTTACTTATACAACACTATTTATATCTCAAACACTTTTACTTGTATTATAATTTATATGAGTCATTCCATACAAAATCGTCTGAAAATAAAAAAAATTGTTGCCGATCGTTTTTAGATTTTGGTGTAACTTTGAGGAACTATTCCTTAGGGTCCCAAAGAAGAAAATTTATACGAGTTTGATTTTTATAAGCACTCCTTTTCACCTATTTAAATAAAGACTAAAAAATCGATATTTTTGGGCCTTATCGACTTTTCCTCTGAAATTTTTCTTTTTGAAGATAATACATGATTAAAGCGGAATTCTGAGGGGGAAAGATAGTAGTTTAAGTGTAAGCATCGATAATTTGCTCAGTCAATACCTCTGATTAACGGCAGCGTGCTGAAAATTAGTGTTTTTTTATAATTTTTCGTGAATTTCAATCGACTCTAGCGTCTTAACTGCTTAGACTTAGCAGCTTATGTTCCTCAGAAATTAAGTGTATATATCATAGATAAAATACAGTCACAAGTCAACCTGAGCAGCCCACTCTTTGCAGAAAAAAACTTTGCTTGAAGTTTTGAAATTTTCAAAAATTGCATTATTCAGGTTATATAATGAACATGTTGACTTCCAGATACAAATCTGAAACTCTCAGAATCTAATGTTCTTACCTTTAACTTTAAATGACCGTACCACTTGTTTTGTTATTTTTATGTTTAGTGCATGTGCGAGTCGTTTTTTTACAGCAAAAATCAACTCAATTTTTTATTTCTTTCCAAATAACTAGAAGCTTCTATTTTGAAAAAAATTTCAACTTATGTATAGGATTCTTATATATCTTTATATATATTTTTATTGATTACATCAAAAACAGTTATCCGGAGTTTAAGAAAATTTATTACTTCGATGACGGAGCAGCTGCTCAATACAAAAATTAATATATGTCATCATGAAGCGGATTTTGGACTACAGGCAGAGTGGCAGTTCTTTGCCACTTCTTATAGTAAAAGTCCATGTGATGGAGCAGGCGGTACAATCAAAAGGAACGAAAGAAGAGCAAGCTTACAGCGAACTACAGATCATCATATATTAACTCCAGAAGCAATGTACGAATTCTGTTCTAATCAAATTTCTGGTATACATTTTTTTTTGTATCGAGCCAGGACGTAGAAGCTGCTGAAACATTATCTGAAAGATTTATAAATATAAATACAATTAAAAATACTAGATCGTATCATAGTTTTATACCTATTTCTCAAAGTCAATTAAAAGCGCAGAAGTATTCAGCTTCTAATAATTTTCATATTGTTAATGTTGTCAAACCAAAACCTTGAATAAAAAATAATTTTCTAGTTAAAAATGTTATTAATTACTGTCATTTTTCATAATTATTATTTCTAGAGATAATTTTACACCTAATATGTTCTTAACTCGATTGAAACTTTAGGAATACTTTCACATTTATAATTATTATTGTTCGTAATTCATTTCAATCCAATAGTTAAAACGTCCAGTAAGAAACTGTTAGATATTAAAACACCTGAAGTTCGATAAAAAGGTAAGATATAATCTGTATTTGCGAAGAAACATCAAGAAAAACTGAATTTATAAGATTATAAAATAAAAAAATTGAGTTGATTTTTGCTGTAAAAAATCGACTTGCACATGTACTAAACATGAAAATAACAAAACAAGTGGTATGGTCATTTAAAGTTAAAGGTAAGAACAGTAGATCCCGAGAGTTTCAGATTTTTATCTGGCAGTCAACACGTTCATTATATAACCTGAATAATCCAATTTTTGAAAATTTCAAAACTTCAAGCAAAGTTTTTTTTGCAAAGAGTGGGCTGCTCAGGTTGACTTGTGGCTGTATTTTACCTATGATATATACACTTAATTCTTGAGGAACATAAGCTGCTAAGTCTAAGCAGTTAAGACGCTAGAGTCGATTGAAATTCACGAAAAATTATTGAAAAACACTCATTTTCAGCACGCTGCTGTTAATTAGAGATATTGACTGAGCAAATTATCGATGCTTACACTTAAACTACTATCTTTCCCCCTCAGAATTCCGCTTTAATAATTATCTTCAAAAAGAAAAATTTCAGAGGAAAAGTCGATAAGGTTTAAAAATATCGATTTTTTAAAAAGTCTTTATTTAAATAGGCGGAAACGAGTGCTTATAAAAATCAAACTCGTGTAAATTTTCTTCTTTGAGATCCTAAGAAATAGTTCCTCGAAGTTACACCAAATCTAAGATGGGCCAGCTTTGCCAATTAGACCATTTTAAATGGAATGACTCATATTAACAACATTTATGTTAAAAAATCGATCTTTGGCCATATACTAATAATCAAACGGCAAAATTTGACTAATAAATATAAAAATGTGGCGCGCCAACCTGTTCTTGCAGAAACCAGACGATTAAAGACGGTTTTCCACTAAACGGACAGTTGAGTTTATGTTTTGTCTATGTTTTCTCGTACTTGTAAAACAAAAACAGAACTGAGACAAACCCAAAACTCTTGGTTCCATCAAGTGGATTAAATTTTGTTACAGTTTTGTTTTTATTTTCGGTCCTTTTCACCTTGTTGTTGCGAGGAAGTCAGAAAACATTCTTTTCAATATTTTATTTATATTTTTAAGAGAGGTCCAAATTGAAAATACATATAAAAGTAATTTAAAAGATGTATGTGACATCATAAAAACCTAAAATGGACAATATTTGGACTTAACCTGGTCTGTCTGCCACACATAATATATATTCTACATCTAAATATACTTATATTAATTTATCCAGCGTTTCAGAATAAACTACTTGTTACTAATTACTTATCTATAAAAAAATACGTTATTTACTTACCTCTAGATACCAATTTGGAACAAAATTTAGACCACACAACACGACCGTTTCCAGTAAACAGACTCGAATTTCAAAACACGTCAAAACCTTTTGATGTTACCGCTTCCAAGCGGGATTCTAGAAACAAAACTCCAACTGTCGCAAAACACGCCAGTCTTCGAAAAGTTGCAGTTTTGCTTTTCGCGACACGAGTTTATGTTTTATTTTTGTTTGGCCCGTTTAGTGGAAAATCGCTATTAAAATAGACCAGACCAGAATCTAAAACCTTTTCGGCAGCTTTTAGAGTTTTATCCTCGCAAACTAATTAGCTACCTCATCCGGCATAGGCATAACAAAAACGGGTTTCGGAGATGACTCGTCTCATCGAATATTCTTGCTAATCAAGAAAATGGAGGCTCAAATATGACAGAAAGGAACCGAACTGGTTGAAAATTGCTCGTACGACCCAACATTAGATTATTTCCAACATACATTTTCATTTATTTTAAAACAATTAATTTTAATGAAAAAATATTTTCCAGGGTAGGTGCACGATTAGGAGAATATAACACAGATACACCAACCGACTGCGTAACTATAGGCAACAAGGAAAAATGTGCTCCTGATCCCATCAATATATTAGTAGAAGAAAAGATCGCCCATGAGCAATATAATCCCTACGACACTAATCAGTACCATGATATTGCCCTTCTCAGATTATCTAGGAATGTTTCATACAGTGGTAAGTAAGTCTTACTATTATTGAGCTGCGTGCTCATAGCTACTTGTTCACAAACCTATTCAGTGACGTAGTCAGAAATTTTTCATAGGAGAAATATGGGGAGGGAGGGGTTCCATCAACAAAGTAAAATCTTTTAGATAAGCTTGTTTTTATTAAAAAAGAAAATAAGAATATTTTTTTATAAAACGATAAAAAAATTTGAATAAAAACAAACAGTGAAGGCCCTTCATGGGAGAGTTGGAACCCCTAAAACGCCCCGTGGTTACGCCACTGAATCTACTGTATGCAGTAGGATTTTCAAATTGTAGCTTGTTCAGCATTAAGAACCGCAATGGACTGAAAGTATGCGACATACTTTGAAACACTAGATTAGATTAGATTCAAGTGGAGTTAGACATTATTTCTTGTTCACTACGACATTTTCAGATCTAGTGTGGAACTCTGCTTTTAACCGACTTCAAAAAAGGAGGAGGTTATCAATTCGTCGCGATATTTTTTTTTATGTATGTTCAGCGATAATTCTTTAACACGATGTCCGATTTCAATGATTTTTTTTTTGTTAGAAAGGGGGTACTTTAGGGGTGGTCCCATATACATTTGGCCAAAATCTAATAATTGGGTCCATGAGAAATTCCTCAAACTCTTCATTTTTCATGTATGTTTAGCGATAATGCTTTACCACCTTGTCCTATTTATATGATTCCTTTTTTGTTAGTAAGGGGGTACCTCAGGGGTGGCCACATATTAATTTGGATAAGATGTGGTGACGGCATTTGCACGTTTTTGAAGTCGGTTTTTTTAAATTTTTAATTTAGATCACTAGTCTTTAATTTTTCATTAGACTTACTTGCTTTGACATTGACTTTGGCAGTGGCTTTAAGAGTGGATCTCGCATAATATTACTTCTAGCTTTTCTTAGAAGTCTACTGTTAGAAACCTCAATCTAGCTAGGCCTTCAAACTGGCTCAGGACTTGGATTGGTTTGTTCTCTTCCTCACAATACCTGCACAATGTGAATTCTTCTACTGGATTGATGACACTCATGTGTCTCCCAAGGCGACAGTGTTCTTTAAGAAGACCTACTATTATTCTAACGATTTCTTGTTTCTGGTCCAGTATATCTTTCGTATGGCAGGTCTCAAGCACTATCCTAAAGAAAAAACATTGAGTTAATTGATATTATTTATTCTTTTTTTTTTTAGCTTTCGTTAGACCGATTTGCATACCAAAAACCTCAGTGGATCAGTCACAAACATACACAGGCAAAAAACTGACCGTAGCTGGATGGGGAAAAACCGAAAGTAGATCCGAGAGCCCCATTAAATTGAAATTAGACGTAAGTGGCAACATGGTTAAGTTTTACATTAATAGCGTTTTCGACTGGTGAAACTTTTTAACACTCGGTGCAACATTTGTTTTCGACTCGCAAGAGCAGTGCGAACCGGATCAGTTTTTGAATTTTCGGTTGGAATCAGTTGAACTCAAAAAAATTAACCGGTGCGCACTTTTGTGAACCGAGTGTAGAGACAGATTTTCAGTTTCAGTTCAGTCGTAACAAATATAGCGATGGCAAATGCCAAAAATAAAAGATTACACTGAATCAGTGGTGTCGCACCTGGATGACTCCCAGGTAGGTATAGAGCATTCAATATAAAAACCGATACACGTCATCAATCAGTTGTGAAGTCATAGCCTTGCAGTGATGCCCAATCTTCAAAATAGTCTAAGAATCTAGGAATTTTTAAAACTGTGAGGTTATATTTTTATTGTTTATTGTTATTAGGGACAATTAATTTTAAATGTATAATGAATTCTATATAAAAGCCAATGAAGGTCATTGACAATGTTTGAATTGAAGTTTTAGAAAAACACTGAATTTAATAGTAATCAATTTTGCACAAGAGGTTTAAAATGACAAAAAAAGGTTAGGTTAAGGATGAAAAACAAACAAATTTTATTTAGGCTTGATTTAATTTACAATAAAAAATAATTATGTTCAGTTAGTTTATAAACATCCATATTTAAAAGAAGTAACAATAATTAGAACAGTTAGGTAATAAAATTAACAACACATGACATTTTAAAACTTAAATAATATTTAAGCTAAAATCAGTCAGAATAATGAGAACTAAATCAGAATCATCTCTATTTGGGGTTATAATAATGGGAGCAATTTCCAATCGGTCCAGTATATGCTCTCTTTCACACCATTTAAAAAATTTTTTTTTTAGTGTGTCTTACACTGTTTGCCCACATTTGTGGGGTAATGGTTCGGAGTGCTTCAGACCACATGTCTATACAATCTCTTTGTGTCTTTCCATCCCGACCAATGTGCCTGTTATAATATTGTTTTGAAATACCCCAAATCAATTCTATTGGATTAAAAATACAATGGTAATGAGGAAGACGTAACACCTTATGTCCATACTGATTATCCAGTATATCAGCTACATATGTTTTTGGTGGTTTATTACTAAAAAAATAAAATCATTTAAAAAATACAGAAAAAGTAGATTTCCATTACTCACCGTCTAACAAGGTTCAAAAGTTCAGCCTTAAACATGGCGACTGAATAATGTATGTTCTGATTGGTCAACCACTCTTGAATTTGAACCTTAGACGAATTACTATTCGGTGTTTTGTATGCCAATGTGCTATGGTATGGAGCATTGTCCATTACAATTAAAGATGGTTCATGCAGTCTTCGAAGCAATTGTTCTTCGAACCATTTTATAAATTTTCATTATTTATCTCACGGTGATAATCATAATCATTGCTCGGCACCATCAATAAATCCATTTTCGTTTCCAGCATGAAGAATTATATATCTATAAAAAAGATCAATATACAGTTAACATGTATATATTCATTAGTTTATTTTATTAACCTTTTACCATCAACTTTTGGACTTTTTACACTTCTTTTTTTGCTGTCTTGCCAAGAACGGTTTATGGTGCCATTTTGGAAAATCCAAGTCTTATCAATAAAAACAAACTTGTACAAATTTGCTTTCTTTTCTTTGGTATATTTTCTTAAAAATTCTGCTCGTTTCACGGCAATATCTGGAAGTTCCATAAGACCTCGCCTTGGTTTATCTTTCTGCCATTTGAAACCTATTTCTAACAATAAGGTATGCAATGATGTGCGACATCCATTGAACAACTCCTTCTCATTAAGTTTCACTAACAAAGAATCTAAACTTACATGCTCCTCTGAAATCATACATTAATTTGTAATTGTTTAATAATAATTTATATACATATACACTTACTAGACTCGTACATGCTATAAATAACATCTCGAATAGCACTGGTATTCAGAATTCTTGTGTTGGTAACTTTCTTTTGCCTAGGGCGCTTTTTTGGTGGTGCCTTTAGAACTTCACTGTTCTTTACAGCTTGTGAAATGGAACTAACAATAGAAAAATTGAGATTAAGTACTTCTGCGACACGCTGAAACAAAATAATTATATTAATTTGACGGTGATACATTATTAATCAATTCACTTCTCTTACAGCTGTTAAAGGTAACAAAGGTCCATTATTATTACGTTCTTTCTCAAAATAATTTATTAGAGAAGCCACTAGTTCCTTGCAGCGATTATTTAATTGTTTTGGCATTTTCAATGAAAAAATACACAATAAACGAACACCACTATTAAATTCCTAATAAATTTGTTCTGAAAAGAACAGTTTGTTAATAATTTAATCTAAAATACAAATAATTTGTTGAAAAGAAATCGATCGATGCAAAATAATACAAAACAAATAACAACAACAACAACAACAACAACAACAACAACAACAACAACAACAACAACAACAACAACAACAACAACAATGTATTAAAATTAAAAGCTGACACATTTGATACCAACTTTTATTATGAAATTCACTAGGAAGTATTCCGTTAATAATCTGCCTACAGTACATTTACTACTGTTATATGATAAAAAATACATTTTTAATATGCAATTTTATAAAAATGAACTCCATGCGTCTAAATTTATTTATTTATTTGCAAAATAAAATTTAATTATTTTTATTAGTGTGTGTGGTACCAATGACTGTCACTGACGTCATCTCTGACGTGCATCGGTTTTTATATTGAATGCTCTAATATTCTTATAAGTCCTGTATATTCATAGTATACGCTGACATCTTAAGTACTTAAATATAAATAAGTTAATGTTAATATATTGAGAAAATATTCTATAATTAAATAGATATTTAAAATAAGAGCTTGGTTTGGATCTTGTTTGGAATTTGGAAGGTACTTCTATTTATCACTCAGATGATAGCTGTCAAATACAATGCACTGGTGGTCAACTGCATTTTCGGTTGTATTAAGTTTGTATGACGTCACTAAATTGAACCAGTGCTGAGCAACGAAAACTCGCACTTCACAAGTGTGAACTGAGTGAGACCAGTCGAAAACGCTATTAGAGTGTAATTGTATTTTTTTTAATTTTAAACTTTTTCTATGTAAAAACTCTTCTTTTTGTTTCTCTACTGGTTTTCCTAAAGCAAATTATATGTCCAATAAACATGACGGGAATAAAAAAGATGTGATTTAATATGTTATTTGTCTCTAAATATTTTTAACATTTTAATTTTTGACTGCACCGGAAGATGGAAGTAAATCTGAAACGTATATTAGGTAAGCTATGCTACGGTTTGAAATATGAAGACTAGAGATAAGGAGGCGAATCGGCCTTGGTCAAATTTCAAATTTCCGTCCCTATTTTTATGGAGTTCCAAAAAACTACTGCAGTTGGCGGGTGGCAAAATAACGACGTCTATTTTCTATCCAAGTCAATGGGAATTAAAGTGATTTTTGTAAAATTTTGTGAAAAGAATAAAAATAAGCTGAAATAAAGAACCTGACTACAAGTAACAATGAGTAACAAAGAACAACAAAGCAAGATTTTCTTCGTGTCGGGTTGCAAAACGGGATATAAATCCGATATAAAATTAAAGAAATCACAAGGAGATAAAATCCAAGCCTTTTTAAAGCTCCAAGGGTAAGTAAAATAATGTATTTATTTCTAAATAATATATATTTATTGTAAAATAGTCACAACCCGTATCTTACGGAATGTAGTTTATTTAATTACAAAATTCTATAATAAAAAATAATAAAGTCATAAATCCTGACTTACAAACAACAATAATTACACATTAAATTTAACTTACTAGAAAAGAAATTTTGCTTTTTTAATGTTTTTTGATGTTAAATGAAGAGTTACTACTGTTATTTTTCTTTATTGAACGCCAATTTAGTCATTGCAAATATTTTTTATAGGATCCTAAACGTTTAGAACAATGGCAGCATGTGATTCCTAGGGCTGATAAAGTACTGTCTAGTTATGATTCTGTGTGCGAGCTACACTTTTTAGAAGAGGAGATTTTAAAATTTGATGAGACTATTTTAACTAATGGTACTGTTAGCAAAATAAAAAGGGGACAGCTGAAATTAAAGGATGAGGTAATACCATGTACATTCCCAAATCTCCCTTTATACTTGTATTACAACAATAAAAAATCTGTTAACTGTGTTTTATTTTACTCTTAAAACTATATATTGGTTCAATTCAAAAAAACATTTACCACAAAATTGTACTTATCAAATTTCAGCAATTAAGAAACCTTTTAAAATTTGGTCATACATACCAAAATTGTATTTTATATAGATAAAATTAAATAATTTATCAATTAAAACATGCAAGACTTATTTAGAAATAAATACAACAGTATGTTCTGTGCTTTATTTAGCTGTAAACAAGTTTATTTTTATTATTTTGACAAAATTATGTATAATTCCCATAAGAAGCCATGTATTTTGAACTACGTAAACCGTACCAGCGCCCATGCGGTTAATTATAAAAGCTCAATTGACGTGTGATTTTTGGGACCGTATTTTGAGCATGCCGATTCGCCTCCTTACCGCTAGTCTTCATAGTCATAACCACGAAAATAACTGATCCCGATCCGTGGATAGCTTCTTTTTTCTTTTAAAAATAATAAATAATATATATCGCTTAAGAATTTTAGGATGGACGACGGACATAATGGACAATATAAAGTGCTTGCTTTAATTGCTTGGAATTTCATGTTGGAGTTGTTTAATGTAACTTAATATTCATTATTTTATTAATTCTCTATTTATAATCGATATACAGTGTACAGTACAAACGTAGAATCTTATTTAATAAATCAATCTTAACTTAAAATTTCAGGACAGCAGTGATGAAACTTTAGATAATGAAGAATATATTCTTATTATGCGTACGAGAAATCAGGTTGCAAAAAGAACCGATTTTCTAAATTATGTGTTATATGATTTAAGAGCTCAGCACTTCAAAAATTATTTTAGGATATCTAAAGATGTATTCGAAAATATCTTTAATATTTTGGGCCCTCATTTAACTAATAATAATTTAGAGGGAAGGCCAATTGTGGATGTAACAACCCAATTTTTGGCTGTTAGCTACTCCAGATTCATATAGGCAATACATTTATTTTCGAATTAGAATTTACGTTTACAATATCAAATTTCTCCATTGTAACAAAAAAAAGAACCACAGCCACACCACAAAATTGATAGGTCACTACGTCCTTGTCTTCTTATTATTAATATGTCAGATGCCAGAGTTAATACAAACTCTCCTCGGATAGTAGAGTCAGGAGAGTTAATTCGAGAGTAGAAATTTTCAAGTTTTTAAACGCTTCAGAGTTAACTCTAGATGGCTCTTCAAACATCTAGAGTAAGTAAATAAACGACATGGAGTTAACCCGTTACTCTGGAGTAAGTTAATAAACACACCCTTTAATTACTATTAATTTCGTTCCAAGGTACAATCAATGACATATATTATGTCATTGGGTACAATATACTCAAGGTACAACATTCTCCCCTACTATCTTTCAGTTCTGGGAGCTGTCGTGAAACCTGTCAAATTCAAAATAATATTTCTTATTGATGAATTTTTCGTTTTTGCTAGCAATGAAATATTTGCTTCTAGTCGTCTACAAAAATAAAAAAACCCCTTTTACAAGCATTTGTGTCAGGTTTTGTTAGTTTTGGTGCAAGTGTAGGAATTTCTCCATATAAACAGAAACTCAAAACTGAGATGCAGTCGATTTGATCATACGCGTGCAATGTCGTTACTTTTTGACGTGTTCACTGCCGGGTTATAATGCGGCGCTATATTTTTGGAACACCCTGTTTTATTTTTAAACATACAAACTATTTATTTGGTAGTGATTTTGAGTATTTCGTTTTTTAGTTAATGAAGATGGTAATATTTGAACAGTTTAGGATTTAATTAATTTAACGTTGAACTTAATATTTGTTTCAGGTTCCTGTTAGAGCGAACAGCGAGTGTTCAACCACCTACAGGCAAGCAGGAGTTGTAGTCAACAGTGGTCAGCTGTGCGCTGGTGGTGAAAAAGGTAAAGATTCTTGCAGAGGAGACAGCGGAGGACCTCTTATGGCTATTAATGTTGATGAAACGTCTCAACTGAACTGGTTCGTGATTGGTGTAGTATCATTTGGACCATCGCCCTGCGGCATGGAAAACTGGCCTGGAGTTTACACAAAAGTAGCTAATTATGTTCCGTGGATAGTATCAAAAATGAGACCGTAATTTTTTTTTTAATTGTGCGTTTGATATTAGAACTTTTATTACATAAAATTCTGGTAAAAAATTATTGGAACAAAGATGAAAAAATATTATTTTACTGGTTCTTTAATTTTATTAATTTCAATGAGATATATTGGCAAATATATGAAATTATTGTTCTTATTTTTATTCTAATAATTAGACAGCTAAATTGTATGTATATTTTTCCAAAACATCTATTCGTAGGTATATGTTGTTTTATTAAGTTTGCCAGTGGTGATAAAAAAATTATTTACCTTAAGCTGAATTTAATTTTTATAATTTTATATTTATTGCTCAAAAATTGTATTTTTTTAATAAAATCATATGATTTTGATATTATTTTATTTATTTGTCGAATAAAACTATTCGGTAATTTATTTTTTATTTGTTTATGTAACATATACCACTCTACGATTTTTCCATTTATTACAGATTATTCTAACATAGAATATAAGTATACAAATAAAAATCTAGAAAACAATTATAAAAAGACCACCAAATATAAAAAATAACAAAGCAATTAAAAAAATACATTATATCACTAATACTAATTAAAATGTATATGTGACCACTCAAAAAAAAAAAACCATGAAAGGTCAAAAAAGGAGTGATCTCAAACACAGAAAACTAGTTCATACACATACACTGAATATTTAGAAGCTAATTTTAGGATAGACTATTTTTTGTTACATTTATTGAACAATTAAAAATATCAAAATATTTGGTGTTATCTTGCAAAGAATTGTAAATTTTAAAAATTTATTGGATGAACATTCATTTGAGGTTGTCTTAATATGTGAAACATGGCTGCATAGCTATGTTAGTAATGATGATTTAAATGTTAAGGGTTATACATTATATCGTGGGGATAGAAATGCAAGAGGAAGGGGTTTATGTATCTATGTCAAAAATAAATATGTTTGTGAACTTATAATAAAAAATGAGGGCTATTTATGGGAACAAATGTGGATAAGGTTAACTCTAAATAAAAAGAATTTAGCTGTAGGGGTAGTTTATAAGCCTCATGCACAGAATTCATTTGACTTTTTAGAGGAGTTCGAGGATACTTTGGCGTCTATTTTTTTAACATTTGATGAAGTAGTTTGTTTAGGAGATCTTAATATGAATTTTTTTAATAAAAATGCTTCCTTTCACAAATTTAATGAAATTCTAGAATCTTTCGACCTAGCGCAAGTTATTGATGTTCCAACAAGAGTAACTAAATCTTCTTCGACTTTACTTGACTATGCTATAGCTAGGAGGGAAAACTTGGTGGATAAGGGTATCATTCATCATACAATCTCGGATCACTCCTTAATTTTTTGTAAAATTAATGTTAAAGAACAAAAGGAACCTAAAATGTATACCTACAGATCTTTTAAAAATTTTGATGAAGATAAATTTCAAAATGATTTAACAAGTACATCATTTTTTCGCATTTTTGATCAAGATACTGTCGATGAAAAGGTGTCATATCTTGTAAATTGTCTAGTTTCTATACTTGATAGACATGCTCCCTTAGTTACCTCCAGATTTACAAAAAAGAAAGCTCCATGGCTAACTTTCACTATAAGGCAAATGATGAATGAAAGGGACAAGGCATTAAAAAAATATAAACGTACAAAATTGGAAGGTCACTTACAATTTTATAAAAACCTTAAAAATTACACAAATCAAGCTATAAAAAGAGAAAAAAGAGCTTACTTCTTACATCAATTTAGTAAGTGTACTAATAAAGAAATATGGCACACTTTAAAATCTAATAATTTTGTCAAAAATAGAAATCAAGATATTCCCGAAAATTTAAAAAATCCTAACCACATTAATAATTTTTTAGTGAACTCAATTTCAAATATTATTCCGCCCCAGAAGTTATTAAACTTTTATAATACTAATAATGTTGTACCTTGTACATTTAAATTCAGAGAAGTTGACGAAACATTTATATTTACCAGTATTTGCAAAATGAAATCAAATGCGATAGGCTGTGATCATTTGAACAGTAAGTTTGTTAAATTATGCTGTCCGCATATTGTTCCATACATTACGCATATTATCAATTTTTGCCTTTTAAACAATGTTGTGCCTACTGTCTGGAAAAAAGCAATTGTAAAAGTGATACCCAAAAAACAAACAACTGAGTATAAAGACCTTAGGGGGATCAGCATTTTACCAATGCTATCCAAAATTTTAGAAAAAACAGTGGAAAAGCAAATAACAGAACATTTATCAAATAACTCATTGTTGCCCCCTGTTCAATCAGGTTTTCGCAGAGGGTATAGCTGTACAACAGCACTTCTGGAAATATTAGATGATATCATTACTGCAACTGACAAAGGGCATTGTACTATCTTAACTCTATTAGATTTTAGTAGAGCTTTCGATACGATAAATCATAATTTATTATTAAGCATCTTGCATTATATAGGTTTTGCTGACAACGCTATATTATTTATTAAAGATTTTTTGGAAAATCGCAAACAATGTGTTAAAATCGATGAACATAAATCAGAATTTTTAAATCTTCACTCGGGCGTACCCCAAGGTTCCATTTTAGGCCCTCTGCTTTTTTCAATATACACTTCGAACCTTATTAATTCTTTAGAAAACTGTAAAATTCACCTATATGCCGATGACACTCAGATTTATTACGGTTTCCCTCCAGATCTATCACAAAATGCGTGTGAGATAATTAATCGTGATTTGAATTCTTTTGTTGGATCAGCAACTGAGCACTGTTTACTATTTAATGCTTCAAAATCTAATGTGATGTTGTTTGGATCAAGTCGTAATCGTGACAAAATTATTGAAGAATTAGGTATTGAAATTAATAATGATAGACTAACCATAGTAAATGAAGCTAAAAACTTTTTGATTCTGAATTAAGGTTTGAAAAACACATCACTAAATTGATTCAGAGAGCTTATAGCTCATTAAAATTGATATACGGTAATCGTAAGTTGTTGCCTAAAAGTATTAAAATATCACTATGTGAATCACTTGTACTATCAAATTTTAATTTTGCTGATTCTGTCTATGGTCCAAATTTAACAGTAACCTTCAAAAAAAAAATACAAAAAATACAAAACAGTTGCTTAAGACTCATATACGGTATAAGAAAATATCAAAGGATATCACATAAACTCAAAGAAATCGGTTGGCTAAATATGGAAAACCGACGAATTCATCATGCAACTACGCTATACCACAAAATTGTCTTGTATAAAATCCCCATTTATCTTTACAAAAAAATATCCTTTAGGACAGATGTTCACAACTTAAATTTAAGATTCAAAGGTCTACTATCACCACCTCAATTTAGATCCGAACTATTTAGACGTTCGTTTTCATATCAAATTTTTCAATTGTATAATTCTGTTCCTATTATATTTAAAAATCTTAACCCTCTTACTTTCAAATGTAAATACAAAACCTTGTTATTTAGCAAGCAATGCACTTAAATCGTAATTGTTCTACCTGTCCCCTCTAAAATATAAAAATATAAAGATATAGTTTTTTGTTTTTATTTTGATTTTTCAATATGTTTAGATTTAGTTCATATACCTACTCGTATTTACATATGTATATAAACACCATCATTGGGTTAAGTGGAAGAACATTTTCCAAGTGTTTTTTTTAAACTTTGGAAAGTGAACTTCGCCTTTTGTTTTCTTTAATAAACTATTAGTAATATTAATTTTGTAAAATGCTGTAATGAAAACAATAAAGACCTTTATTATTATTATTATTACCACACATAAAATATATAGTATATTAGATTACGAGTGTGGAAAGTGACATTTTTCACACGAGTCGGTGTTACGTTTCAAATAAATATAGTTAAATGTTTTATAAAAAATGTTACGTTTTACTAATAAACGTTTTATAAAAACATATTTTGCACCAGATGATACGTTTCTAACCCTCACCTGGGTCTCATTGTAAAAATACTTATAATAAGAATTCTTAGAAGCCTCAGGCCTAGCTTAGATCAAAATAGGTCAGTGGGATTCGTTTAGAATGACAAAGTCTTTAATTAAAAAGACTTAAAAGAATTCAATTAAATTAATTTGGGCGCCATACCTTTAGATGGACAATAAAAGTAAATTTGTCATTAACTTGTCAGTTGAAAGTAAGAAAAAAACTAAAATTTCAAAACAATTAATCGGCTTTAATTTAAATTTCGAATTTGACTGATGACTGATTACATAATATAAAAGAAAATAAAATTAATTGATTTTAACACATTTTACGGTTTACGTTTTACTAATGATGAGTTTAAAATTAAAATTGACTAGTGACTCAAAATTGTGTGTGTGGTCCTGGCCGACACTTATCTTGTGTTTCCGGATTTCAACGGTCGAACTGGTCTGGTCCGTGTCTTAATGGTAGGTGAGCGGTGAGCCTACGATGACTTCAAAACACTGCAGTTCCTTACGCAACTCAGTCCAAGATATTCCGCAGCTCTAGTGGCAACTAGCTGACAATGATTCTGCAGTTCCAGATTACAAAGGACAATTCCTTAGTTTGTTACAGATCCAGAGCCAGTTCCTTAATTTTAAGAAAGAAAAAACGTGTCAGTTACAACAAAAAAAAAAACCGTATCTTTCCATTGCTTCAAAAAAAAAAAAAACAACACATGTGGTCAGCAATAAAACTTACAATTTAAATTAAACATTCTTAAATTAAACATTTCAAATTTTACAACAATATTAGAGAGTTGCAATAGTATTTAATTTAAAACACATGAAGAATGGAAAGATCTTTTCAAATAACTGAGAAGAAAAAATATAAAATTAATGGCAGCCATTTTGTACATTTTGGAATTTATATTACGCAAAAAGCTCACTATGAATAAAAGAGATAACTCAGAGATAATTTCAGCAGAATATGCATACAATAAAATTAATTTCTACTTTTCATTATAAAAAAAAAATTCGAGAATATGCACACAATAAAATTAATTTCTACTTTTCATTATAAAAAAAAAAATCGAGATTACCTTAGTTATTCGGACACACAAAGCACTAAAATCAACCTGTCTACCTCGCCGCTAGATTGAAAAAGAAAAAGGAGTCGATCGAATATGGAACGTGGAAAAGTAAGCCAGGCGCACGCACAACACCTGACCGTAATTATTGATTTTTAGAGAGAGCGCATCATTGGTTGAGCTATCGAATGTCTTAGACAGAGACAAATTCCCGTTTCAACATAATATCTATAATTCCAAATACGAGGGGCGCTCAAAAAGTATTAGAACATATTGGAATATTTGAACTAATTAAATATTGTAATTATTAAAAGGGAGTGACGATTACAACGTAACATCGGAAATATTGTCGCAAAAGGCGCAAGCCGAGTGCGACTATCACACGAGTGTGGAAAATCACTTTTTACACAAGTGATGTACAATATTTTTCCTACGACCACAAAATAATGTCATCAAAAAATGTAAAACCAAGGTTATTATTACTATAATAATTAAAATTTATTTAAAAAAATAATCAACAATAATCGTATTTATTCAATTTTCATATTTTCTAAACAAAAAAAAAAAAACAAACAAAAAAATAAAAAAAAAAAACAAAAAAAAATTCTGCCCCGCCAGGATTTGAACGCAGTCGACAAAAGTTGATAAGTTCGACGTCCTAACCACCTGAGCTAATAGCCCTTGTGTCAATTGAATGATCTAATCGTTTATGTATTTAACCAGAATAAAGAGCAAACATTATTTTAAAATTATTTTAATAATAATTGTTAAAGATAAATATCTAGGATCTAATTTACAACAATTTCAATAATTTAACAATCATATCGATTTTAGTATTAATATGGACATTACATAGATCAAAATAGAAATTACTTTGACATTTTGTGACAACTACTGCGGAAAGTAACATATTCTCACTTGAGTGGAAAGTAAATTCTTATTCATACGCGTGTGATATAAGGGCACTTTCCATAGGACTATATAGTGTGATATGTGTCACTTTCCTAAGTAGTCGTAGGAAAAAGAATATTTTAAAATATTAATCTTAGTAAAGTGTTGCTGAATACCTAGAATTTTCACGTGGAACACAAAAGTTAATTGAATTTATGATTTCAGAAGAGTCTTTTTGGAAATTATTAATTTGTATTAGAAAATAAGAATACGAATTTATATATCTACGATCTTGAAGAGAAATAACAGAATAACGATTAAGTAAAATATCATAAGGGAAGCCAAAAGGTGGATAATTACTATTTTCTATAAAATACAAATATTTAAGAAATTTTCTTTGGACATCTGTATCTGTATCTGTATCTGTAACGTGTGGAGGGTGGGTTACTCCCACGGCACTTAGGCCTCATTAGGCCCATTGTGCATCCTCCTAAGATGATAGGCACCTCCTAGCTTGTCAGCCAGCCTACATATTTAATGTAGTTGACAACGTCGCCAAGAGGTGATTCTCTTATATTGGCCGGTGTTAGCCGATACTCGCCGAACACAAATCTTCTAATAAATGAGAGCGTCGGGCAATCGTAAAGGATATGCTCGATGGTCTCATCTTCTTGTTCGCACCCTCTGCAGAGTGCGGATTCTGGCAGCCCCATGATATGGAGATGCTTCCGTACTTGGCAATGACCAGTCAGAATGCCTATGACCAGACGCAAATTCTGTCTAGTCATAGTCAAGTATTTGTTTGCCGCAGTATTGTCAGGATAACTTAAGAGCTCCCTGGCAACTCTGCAGTTCCTTGTTTCATCCCATCTTTTCTTGAATTTCACAAGGGAATGTTTTTTAATTAGGTCTATCACTACCAATTTTGTCAGGCCAATAGAAGGGCCAGGTCCAAAACGTATTTGGTTGGCTGCTTTCTTGGCTAGTGAATCAGCAAAAAGGTTACCTTTCGATGTGGCGTGACCATTGATCCATCTTGAGGTGACCACATTGTTGATGGATACTTCGACCAAAGCTTCATGATATTCTAGTACTAACCCTGAATAAATTCGTGCATTAAATAAAAGAATAAAGCTGTCTATAGTCGTAAAAAACTTACATGTTCTAAGAATCATTCCATACATGTTGTAAGCTGAAAAGACTGTAGTTTCAATGTGAACATTAAACAAAAGCTGTCGGTCAAAGTTCACACCTACATCTTTAAAAATATCAACTCTCGGCACTTTAGAGTTATTAATTTTGTAGTCGAAATAGTACGATAATTTGGACGGTAAAATATTTGTTGGCAGCTTAACCGGTAACCATCCACCTTTGTGACTGTTACATCTCTTGAAATTTCATCCATTTCCATCATATCTATCTTTTTCTTCTTCGCTTTCGACTATTTCTTCTAGTGTTTCAATGTCCCTTTAACTAATACTGAATAAATCAATTTTATTTGACATATCATCTTCAAGTTCAGTCTTTTTCGTTTTTTTGTTGTCATTTTTTATTTTTTTTTGCTTTAGCCTGTGCCTTAACTTTTCCTTACCAATTTCTGCTTTCTGTTATTCTCTTATTCTTTCTAGAACTACTTTTCCTACTTCTTATTTGTTACCAACGAATCTGGTTGGCACTGTTTGATTGTGCGCAATATCAGCTCCTCAAAACCTACCTCAATGCTTCCAGAAGTATTTAGTTGCAGCTCATTTATATTTTCATTTGATTATTTCTTGCTAATGAGTGACAAGTTGTTGTTTCTTTTGATTATAAAAACAATGCTATAAAATGGAACATATGTGCTTGTGAATAGAAAAGTAAAAAGAACACAAAACAAAATGAATTAGTTAGCTCTATTTTTTTGGTAAATATCAAGGATTTTGTGTATATTATCGATACTAATATCTCAGAGATTACATACTTTGTTAAACATCTTACTAATAAAAATATTAGTTCGGCAAGATGGATTTTAAAAAAATATTTATTGCGTGATTCAATTCTGGACAAAAAAAAAATTTACTCAATATTTTTGAAGAGTCAATTTTTTTATTTAAAATTTCGTCCAAAAATGTGTGATGCGTGGTTACGCCTATAAGAAGTTTTATGTTAAACATTTCAAGAAATTCCTTATGGTTAAATACTCTTTTAGGATAATGTATCAAGCTCTGTTAGATAGCCGATCATATTACAGAAAAATATTCCAATTTGCTTCTTACAAAAGTGATACACGATAATTTGAAAGTTTCTACCACATTATCCTAGCAATTCAGATGCTGCAGCGGTAATATGTTCGATATAGCAACCGAAAGTTGTTGTCGAATTTTATTTAAAGGTCTTTTAATGTGTCACAGCATTGCAGAACCTGATTGATACTCAAAAGAAACAAATGCATAGGGCTCTTTTAGACGAGAAAATAGGACAACTTTACATTTAGAAATATTAAGTTTTAACGAATTTCCAAACAACAGCTGTGAACAGTATTTAATAATTGCTGTAATCTGTAACTATCCTCTGGACCATTATTTTTACAATATGGTTTTAGGTTGTCAGCAAACATGAAATAAAAGCAATCTAATTTCGAAAATCGATAGTATGTGAATATTAAAAATATTAATGTCCTAGATTTGATACTATGATCAAAAACAACAAAATGTTAGAAAATTAGATCTTCTTAGCGTAAGGCACATTAGTGTTATTAGTTTAGCAGAAGAAGCAACTTTGTTAAAGTTCTGTTACGAAGAAGAGGAAACATCAATCCACATCCTGTGCCAATGTGAAGGCCTATGTAGACTGAGGTGTCTAACACTAGCATAAGAAAATTCAGAAACATTTAACTATTGGCGAGAGCCACTTGTCCTTTCTTGTGAGTTTTTAAAAGCTTAAAATGTCTTTTTTACAGCACATATCTTTGAAAAGGACATGGTTTGTACTAAAATATATAAGCTGAGGACCTTTCAGCGGAAGGATGAGGACTTTTTCTATACCGGAACCCCTGTCATCATCGTTCTCCTTTATTCACTTTTCAAAAAGGTGGCAACCCTAAGAGCTACTGTCACATACGCTTTACTCAAAAATAATGGCGTAGCAATAGATCTGAAAAGGTCGCGGTGCACAAGGACAAATAATCCTTTCGAATCTTATTTACCTGATTTATATTTTGATGTAACAACTATCATTCTAACTATATCAAGTATAATATCCTTTATAATGTGCTTAGTCAATAATTTATCTTTGATGATATGATATCGTCCCTATTTATAATCGGTATTTCCAAGTTTGGTTAAATATTAACAACATTGACCGAAAAACAACATGGGGGTCATAAATCGAGTTTTATACTCGTTTAGTGTTTTTAACACTTTCAATTTGAATGGATTTATTTTGCGATTTTGTTTAGTCACGTAACATTTGAAATGGCAGAAAATAATGTGTTTGGAATTATAGTGTTTATGATTGGATTATTATCGCTCTATAATGCAAGTAAGTAATAATTAATATCTATATAAAACAAGATTTTTATTTATTATTAATAACCTATTTACTTAATTGCAAAAGTTTTGATCAGGAAAAACAGGAAAGTGTTTGAAGGTTAATTTATAAAATTTTAATATTTCATTCATTTATTTAACTGTATTAAACTAATTATAAATGATTGACAAAATTATGTGGAATTAACTTTCCTGGAAAGTAACCAAATATATTAAGGATGGCCTATCCAGTCGAATAGTATTTATATTATAAATTAAAGATGATAATTTTCCACACATATTTTATTCAAAACAATTTTTGTTACCACCACTATTTAGATTAATTTAGATTAATGCGCGTGAATAAGAATCTAATTTCCACCCTTGTGTAAATATGAAACTTCTTTCATATTTAGATGGCTATTAATTACTGATATAATGTCCTACTTATAGAGACTTTTACAAATTTCCCCCGGTGGGCGTATCAGAGCATGAATCGCGAATAATAATGATGACTAATTGTTATTATAAACAATTTTATTTATTAAAATTTGCACTAGTTTATCTTCCATTTATATACTACGTATTTTTTTTAGAATCTGAACCATGTAATACCCCCAGTCATGAACCAGGAGATTGTAAGAGAATAACAAAATGTCAAAGTTTATTTGCAATTCTACAAAATATGACAATAACACCTGAAGATGCTGATTATCTAAAACGATCTCAATGTGGGTTGGAAGGACGTTTACCTAAAGTATGCTGTCCACTTAGGACTATTAACATGAATAACAGAAGGCTTGACTACACAACTACCACCCTAAGACCTAATCACATAAATAGCAGAAGGCTTGACTACACAACTACCACCCTAAGGCCTTATGTAAATACTGACGAAAACAGTAAGTTATTTTAACAATTTTACGCAAATAATTCATATTTCAAATGTATATCTTATAAAATAGTTGAAAAGAGTTGAAAAGAGTTGAAAAGAGTTGAAAAGAGTTGAAAAGAGTTGAAAAGAGTTGAAAAGAGTTGAAAAAAGTTGAAAAGAGTTGAAAAGAGTTGAAAAGAGTTGAAAAGAGTTGAAAAGAGTTGAAAAGAGTTGAAAAGAGTTGAAAAGAGTTGAAAAGAGTTGAAAAGAGTTGAAAAGAGTTGAAAAGAGTTGAAAAGAGTTGAAAAGAGTTGAAAAGAGTTGAAAAGAGTTGAAAAGAGTTGAAAAGAGTTGAAAAGAGTTGAAAAGAGTTAGAAAGAGTTGAAAAGAGTTGAAAAGAGTTAAAAAGAGTTGAAAAGAGTTGAAAAGAGTTGAAAAGAGTTGAAAAGAGTTGAAAAGAGTTGAAAAGAGTTGAAAAGAGTTGAAAAGAGTTGAAAAGAGTTGAAAAGAGTTAAAAAGAGTTGAAAAGAGTTGAAAAGAGTTGAAAAGAGTTGAAAAGAGTTGAAAAGAGTTGAAAAGAGTTGAAAAGAGTTGAAAAGAGTTGAAAAGAGTTGAAAAGAGTTGAAAAGAGTTGAAAAGAGTTGAAAAGAGTTGAAAAGAGTTGAAAAGAGTTGAAAAGAGTTGAAAAGAGTTGAAAAGAGTTGAAAAGAGTTGAAAAGAGTTGAAAAGAGTTGAAAAGAGTTGAAAAAAGTTGAAAAGAGTTGAAAAGAGTTGAAAAGAGTTGAAAAGAGTTAAAAAGAGTTGAAAAGAGTTGAAAAGAGTTGAAAAGAGTTGAAAAGAGTTAAAAAGAGTTGAAAAGAGTTGAAAAGAGTTGAAAAGAGTTAAAAAGAGTTGAAAAGAGTTGAAAAGAGTTGAAAAGAGTTGAAAAGAGTTGAAAAGAGTTGAAAAGAGTTGAAAAGAGTTAAAAAGAGTTGAAAAGAGTTGAAAAGAGTTGAAAAGAGTTGAAAAGAGTTGAAAAGAGTTGAAAAGAGTTGAAAAGAGTTGAAAAGAGTTGAAAAGAGTTAAAAAGAGTTAAAAAGAGTTGAAAAGAGTTAAAAAGAGTTAAAAACAGTTGAAAACAGTTGAAAACAATTGAAAAGAGTTGAAAATAGTGAAAATTAGTTAAAAATAGTTGAAAATAAATTTAAAAAAAAAGTTGAAAGAAGTTGAAAATACTTGAAAATAGTTAAAAATACTTGAAAAGGGTTTGAAAATAGTTGAAAATGGTTGAAAATGGTTGAAAATGGTTAAAAATAGTTAAAAATGGTTAAAAATAGTTAAAAATAGTTAAAAATAGTTAAAAATAGTTAAAAATAGTTAAAAATAGTTAAAAATAGTTAAAAATAGTTAAAAATAGTTAAAAATAGTTAAAAATAGTTAAAAATAGTTAAAAATAGTTAAAAATAGTTAAAAATAGTTAAAAATAGTTAAAAATAGTTAAAAATAGTTAAAAATAGTTAAAAATAGTTAAAAATAGTTAAAAATAGTTAAAAATAGTTAAAAATAGTTAAAAATAGTTAAAAATAGTTAAAAATAGTTAAAAATAGTTAAAAATAGTTAAAAATAGTTAAAAATAGTTAAAAATAGTTAAAAATAGTTAAAAATAGTTAAAAATAGTTAAAAATAGTTAAAAATAGTTAAAAATAGTTAAAAATAGTTAAAAATAGTTAAAAATAGTTAAAAATAGTTAAAAATAGTTAAAAATAGTTAAAAATAGTTAAAAATAGTTAAAAATAGTTAAAAATAGTTAAAAATAGTTAAAAATAGTTTAAAAATAGTTAAAAATAGTTAAAAATAGTTAAAAATAGTTAAAAATAGTTAAAAATAGTTAAAAATAGTTAAAAATAGTTAAAAATAGTTAAAAATAGTTAAAAATAGTTAAAAATAGTTAAAAATAGTTAAAAATAGTTAAAAATAGTTAAAAATAGTTAAAAATAGTTAAAAATAGTTAAAAATAGTTAAAAATAGTTAAAAATAGTTAAAAATAGTTAAAAATAGTTAAAAATAGTTAAAAATAGTTAAAAATAGTTAAAAATAGTTAAAAATAGTTAAAAATAGTTAAAAATAGTTAAAAATAGTTAAAAATAGTTTAAAAATAGTTAAAAATAGTTAAAAATAGTTAAAAATAGTTAAAAATAGTTAAAAATAGTTAAAAATTATTGAAAATTGTTGAAAATAGTTGAAAATAGTGGAAAATAGTGGAAAATAGTTGAAAATAGTTGAAAATAGTTAAAAATAGTTTAAAATAGCTGAAAATAGCTGAAATTAGTTGAAAATAGTTGAAAATAGTTGAAAATAGTTGAAAATAGTTGAAAATAGTTGAAAATAGTTGAAAATAGTTGAAAATAGTTGAAAATAGTTGAAAATAGTTGAAAATAGTTGAAAATAGTTAAAAATAGTTGAAAATAGTTGAAAATAAATGAAAATAGTTGAAAATAAATGAAAATAGTTGAAAATAAATGAAAATAGTTGAAAATAGTTGAAAATAGTTGAAAATAGTTGAAAATAGTAGAAAATAGTTGAAAATAGTTGAAAATAGTTGAAAATAGTTGAAAATGGTTGAAAATAGTTAAAAATAGTTGAAAATAGTTGAAAATAGTTTAAAATAGTTTAAAATAGTTGAAAATAGTTGAAAATAGTTGAAAATAGTTGAAAATAGTTGAAAATAGTTGAAAATAGTTGAAAATAGTTGAAAATAGTTAAAAATTGTTGAAAATAGTTGAAAATAGTTGAAAATAGTGGAAAATAGTGGAAAATAGTTGAAAATAGTTGAAAATAGTTAAAAATAGTTTAAAATAGCTGAAAATAGCTGAAATTAGTTGAAAATAGTTGAAAATAGTTGAAAATAGTTGAAAATAGTTGAAAATAGTTGAAAATAGTTGAAAATAGTTGAAAATAGTTGAAAATAAATGAAAATAGTTGAAAATAAATGAAAATAGTTGAAAATAGTTGAAAATAGTTGAAAATAGTTGAAAATAGTTGAAAATAGTTGAAAATAGTTGAAAATAGTTGAAAATAGTTGAAAATAGTTGAAAATAGTTGAAAATAGTTGAAAATAGTTGAAAATAGTTGAAAATGGTTGAAAATAGTTGAAAATAGTTGAAAATAGTTGAAAATAGTTGAAAATAGTTGAAAATAGTTGAAAATACTTAACAATAGTTATAAATAGTTGAAAATAGTTAAAAATACTTAACAATAGTTATAAATAGTTAAAAATAAATAGTTGAAAATAGTTGAAAATAGTTAAAAATAGTTGAAAATAATTGAAAATAGTTTGATGCTGAACCTTATTGTATTCTAAGTGCTGAACAGTCTGGTAACAAATAAATAGTTGAAAATAGTTAAAAATAGTTAAAAATAGTTGAAAATAGTTGAAAATTGTTGAAAATAGTTTGATGCTGAACCTTATTGTATTCTAAGTGCTGAACAGTCTGGTAACAAATGTTCTAATAGATATTTAGGAGGATAGGATGATACCAAACTTTGATGATCATCAAAAAGTTTTTATTAATTTTCAGAAATTCATCCGTGCTATACACCCAATAATGAACAAGGTGATTGTAAAAGAATAACAAAATGCGAAAGTTTATTTACAATTGTGATAAATAGACCAATCAAGAGTGAAGACGCCGATTATATCAGACGATCTCAATGTGGATTCGATGAAGGTTTACCTAAAGTATGCTGTCCACTTAGGGCTAACCCGGTTAACATCACAACTACCAGAAAGCCTGATATTGATACTTATGCAATAGGTAAGATATATCAATAATATTTCGAAGATGATACTTTTATTTTATTATTAAGTCAATGCTAGATAAAAAACATATACTGAGTGAGAAACTATTCCTTTAATTTTAACGTTAAAAATGAACTAAAACCTAAATTGCGGTGCTTTTAATTTAATATATTTTAAGATTCATTATTTTTAACTTATAACATTTTGTTGTTATTTTGAAGACTGAGAAATATACAAGTGTATAATCAAACAAATTATTTATTAAACTAAGTAAATTCTAATACAGGTACTTTATTAAACGGTACTCAAACCAAATTATATTATAAAACTAACTCGTAAAGGTTGAAAAGAAAAATAAATTCTTAAGTATTTCTATTGATTTTAAATTAAAATTTTAAACTTTTTGTAAAGAAATATCTTCGAGATGCTTTTTTGTAAGGTCAGTAGCGTACAATCTAAATGCGTCAATACCAAGGACTGTATATTTTGTTTTAAGATATGGTATTTGTTTGTGGAAAACATGTTCGGCAAAGTGCAAAAGAGAGGTTTGCGAAATATGTGCGATATTAAAAATAATGACTCATCGAAGCCTGTATTTTTAAAATATAAAATTTTCACGAAAAAACTGTATTACGTTTAAAAGAAATATATAAAAAAAAACAAATGTAACATACACGATAATTGCATTATCTTGCATGATCTTTCCATTCCTCATTCTTCAGCAATAACAAACTCTATTTTATATAATGGGAAGAAAATGTTTAACCATTTGCCACTTAAAATACATAAACTGTAGAAGGTTCCGTAAACAGGGGTTGAGGAATTTTTGTTTGAGTGGCCATCATAGGTGTTTCGAAATCAAAACATATCAAAACATTTGAAGCCGGTCCTGCGCGCCACACTTTGGGTGGTCTGCTGAGTATATATAAAAAATCGTTGTAAACACCTGCTTGCATGGTCTACGTGACATTACCCACGTAAACGTGCAAAACAGGATCACACCTGACTAGCCGACACTATGCATTTGTTCCATCTGTCTCCCTCTATTGCTTTTCTACCTCAACATATACGTAGCTAACCGAAAAAGAAACTCACTTTTTAACAAGTCACCAAAGCAAATAGACGTGTATTGAGTTCGCTCTTACACAACATAAAAATGTTATCTTTTAACTCACTTCTCAGCAAGTCACGAAAGCAAACAGACGTGTATTGAGTTCGCTCTTACAAAAGATAAAAATGTTATTTTTTAAAAAATGTTTTTCTCAGCAAAGATAGTATTTCGAATGTAAATAAATATGTAAAAAAGTTTTTGTAAATAAGTGTACTGAAGATTTATGAAGACTCATAAATAAAAGGTGTTATCTACGATGATTTTACGAGTTTTATTCCATAAGGAAATTACGACAGTCCATTAGCCGAAGCAGAGAAGAGCCGAAAAATTTAAAAGCTATGTTGCTGCATACGTGGTTCATCTATACAGGTAATCACTATCACACCAATAGGTTTTATTCTTTGGTTTATCACTTAAAATTTAATATTAATACAGTGAAACTTCTGTTAACGGACACCTCTCCACAACGGAAACCTCTACTGCACAGATAGTTTTTAGGTCACTGAACATTTCATATGTGGGTAAATGGGCTAAGACATCTCCGAACAACGCACCCTCTTCATAAGAACTTCAGACAAAATTCACCTTCATTTTTTATATAAAATTCTTGTAATTTTACCCACCAACAACGGACAATAAAGGCGAATAAAATTGGGGCTCGGGAACTCGGGAATTCCAAATAACTTATTGTAAAATAAGTAGGTAGGTACTTATAGTCATAAAACTAGAAAATTAGGTACTTCGAGTTTGGAGAAACCCACTTTAGAATTTATTCAAAAAAGTTCGGAGAAAGTTTGGAAGAAAAACTATCGGTGCTAGAGATATCTGAAAAAAATAATTATAGTTTTCAAGTTTTGGCCGAAAAGTGTCAAATAAGAAAAACTCAAGTAAGTGACATTTTAAAGAAAAAGGCCGACTTAAAAAGTTCTATATTGAAAAAGGAAATCTGAAACAAAAAAAGAGGATTAAAACTGAAGGTGTTGCCATGTTTCTATAGCGTATCATTGGTTAAAGGCGGCGAAAGTACTTAATTTGAATGTTAAATCTTCCAATGGTTGGCTCCACAAGTTTTGCTCAAGACATAATATTAAATTTACAGCAATATCTGGAGAAACAACAAATGTTAACTTTGACAACGTTTCAGAGTGGCAAAGAAAACTGCCAAATTTATTAAGTGGCTATTTACCTGAAGATATTTATAACTCTGACGAGACTGGTCTTTATTATCGAGCCTTACCAAATGAAACTTTTACATTTCTTAATGAAAAGTGCACTAGGGGTTAATCTGCTAAAGGAAGACTGACAGTATTATTGTGTGTAAATCTAAATGGAGTTAAAGAAAAACCTTTGGTAATTGGTAAAAGTAAAAAACCTTGATCTTTTAAAGATTTTCATGTTAATAAACTCCAATTCGACTCGTACTACAACAAGAAGGCCTGGATGACCAGGTATATCATGACAGATTGGCTGCACAAATTTGACAAAAAAATGCAACTACAAAAAAGAAAAATTATCTTGTTCCTAGACAACGTAACATCCCATCCGAATATTCACCTATCCAACATATCGATGATATTTTTGACAGCACATTATCAACCGTTAGACCAAGAAATAATCAAAAATTTTAAATCCCTATATAGAAAGTTGTTAAAGAGAAGAAAGTGAGAAGAATGTTCTTTAACAATGGCTGAACTGGAGAAGTCCATAACGTTTGCTTAACGTCTTAATTTAGATAGTAGCAGCATGGAACAACTTTTAACCAAAACATTTGAAAAGTGTTTCATTAGGTGCTTTTTTTAAAAAAATGATAGAAAGGGAGAAGAAATTAAGGAAAATCTGGACCTACAGGACCTGAAAGACGATTTGCCATTGTCAACCTTTTGCGAAAATAATAGAGTTGAAAATTTGTTGAACTACGTGGAGATTGATGCAGCCCTATTGACAGAAATTTCTGAAGTGAACTTAGCTAGTTGTGTTAGTGATTTTAAAGAAAACGAACAGGTGTCCAATGTTTTCGACAATAAGAGTGACGATGAACTACAATTTGCTACACCTGTAAGTACTCGTAATTCAAATGATGCTTACTTAAAATTAATAGACTTAGAATTATTTTTTATACATAAAGGTGATGCAATAGTTAGTCAAAATATATCTGAATAATTTTAAATGTTGAGTCAGAAATTATCAAAAATAATGTTCAAAATAAAAAACAAACCAAAATTGATGATTTTTTAAGAAGTAATTCCTACCTTTTTACATTAGTATTTTATTTGTGTTTTATTTGTATGAAAATGTGTAATTAAAGATCAAGCAAACAGGAACCGTTATGGAGAAGTTTAACTGTATTTTTATTATATTTTTAGTCCTGTGCTAACTTTTTACAATTTTATTTTTTAATGGGTTTATAATAATAATAATAATAATGTAATTTCTTACACAATAAAGCATTTTGTTGATGTGTTTTGACCATAATTGACTTATTTAGGACTAAAAATAAAGTAACTAAAACTTTGCAACCGGTTACAATTTTATGTTTTCAATAAATTAGAGATTTATGCAGATTACTTTCATCGAAGGATCCGTTTATAAAATTTCTGGATAAATTACATGATGTATATATTTTTATTAATTATAATCATAAAATACTACTTATCTAATAGAACCCAAAGAGTTAAAATAGGAAATAAATTTAGTTCAGAGTCTATAATACAATTAAGAGTACCACAAAGCACAGTATTAGGACCTATTATTTTCTTAATTTACATTAACAGTATCAGTAAAATAAATAATTTCGAAGGTCATATAATATGCTATGCAGATGATACTGTATTAATTACTGGATCTACATGGGATACTGTTAAATCTACCACTGAACATAACATGAAAAACGTTTATAAATGGTTAAATAATAACAAACTTTCTCTAAACATGAAAAAAACTAAACATATAACTTTTTCTCCCACCATTACAGATCAGCTTAAACATTTTTATATTAAACTGCATAAACCATCTTGTGTTGCTATCAATAATTGTGACTGTTTTATTATTGAAAAAACTAAATCTCTCAAGTACCTAGGAGTTATTGTTGATCAATATTTAAAATGGGTAGACCACATCAACTATATTTTTGAAGGACTAAGAATTTTAATGCATACATTTTAAGAATTACGGGACATCCTAACGAGAAAAAATTTAATAATTTTGTATACAGCTCTTACTGAATCTATAATTAAATACTGCATCTCAGTATGGAGTGCAGCATCCAAATCAACTCTACCACCATTACAAATTTCACAAAATATTCTTCTTAAAATAAATTTTAGAAAGAGTAAGTATCATTCCACAAATCCTTTATATCAAGAAACTAAATATTCACTTAATATATGTTTACAACTGCCTAACCAGGATGTTCCATGATTCATCAAAGTTGACTACCCTGAATCATCGGAGGGATACCCGGTCAAAAACTAACTTTGATATTAAAACTGAACTTTTTCATAAAACTGCTACTGAACATTCCTTTATGTAATATGGATCTAAATTATTTAACAAGCTTCCAAAAACCCTAAAACTAACAACAAAATTGAATTTTTTTAAAACTGAGGTGAAAACGTTCATAAAAAAAATGCAGATATATTTGACATCATGATTTTGATAAAAATATTTCTCTTTATTCTTAAAATGTACTACTTTTGGGCGACTCGCCTAGTATTTTCTTAGCAACAAAACAAGCACAAAAAACGGAAAATTTGTTTATTTTTTAATTTTCCAATTTTTTTTATCCTAATTTCTATACGCTATATTCATTATATAAGTTAGGAATGCTTATTCTATACAGAGTTTGGAGTTATGCAATGCAGCTCACAAAACAGACTTTCACGCCTAATGTGATACTGCGTTTGTCT